CCCGTTTTGAGATCTCATGGAATCCCAAATATTTGATAAAAACGCACTGACATGCAACTAGTACTTATTTGCAGTTTTTTTTTTTTCAAAGAAATACTTTTTCTTAGTAAGCGACAATTTTCTAGACGCAACACTTGCGCTGCCTTAGAAGGGCGACCGTTGAAAGGATGCTCAAATAGAGTCCAACGTCTTATATATCCTCAAACTGGTCAACCAATATACTTGGTCAACGCAGCGATAAACATGTAAATATGCTGAAGAAACAACAACAACTAGTAAAACAAATAATACGTAATATTGGGTAAAAGCAGCAAAAAAGTTGACAGTTTCCAATTCAAAAATTCAACGATGCATAAAATTTGTGCATTAATTGAGCAGCCGACTCGACTTGTTGCAAGTTTTCAAAGCACAAAAATGTACTTGCATGGAATACATAATCGACCTAGTAGTATGAATATATGTAGGTAAAATAATGTAAATACTTACAATAAGAACATCCAACAATGTGACAAAAGGTAGATATGCATATATTTTTATGCAACCCATTTGTAACAAGCAGGTTACACCCACATAACTCTAAGTACTTAAGTATAAATGGAGTGAGTAAGAAAGGAAGGGGGGGAAGGGGTCGCAGTGAGGCCATCTTGTGCTGAAAACAGATGCTAAGAAATACTCGTATTTAAAGAAGTTATTGAAGCCTTATTAAAGCGAATTAGAGAACAGATGACAGTTCAAAGAATTTATTTTAGCATAAAAACGCAAATCTTAACAAACTACAGCAAGCAGAGTGAATTCAGATGCAGCTACAAACATAATAAAATTTTCAATAAATGAAGTTACATATACAGCCCGCACTGAGATCGTATAACCTTGGGAATTTACCCTTTCCGTACCATAAGAAAGTCTTTAGTAGTTTTATATTTTTTTAACCGACTTCAAAAAAGAGGAATGTTATCAATTCGTCGGAATATTTTTTTTTATCTTTGTAACCGATTTCTATAAATCTTTTTTTAAAAGATAGGTGTTACCTCAGCGGTGATCCCATTCTAATTTGCTTTAAATCTGATCATTGGATTATAAAGAAATTAACGATGATCTTAAATTTTTATATTAGAATTGAAGTCGGTGTTGTTTTTTGCCTAAAATTACTTGTTTAAATTTAGAATGTGACACAAGTAATTTTAGAAACAATTTTTTTTATCAAAATTAGAAAAATTTATTACAAGCAGAAATATTCTTTTTTGGATTTCAAATAAAAAATAAAAAATATTTATTTAAGAAATTTACGAAAGCATACTTTTAGGGGCAAACTAATTTTTTAAGATTTTTTACAAAAAAAAAAGAAAAATTGTGAGAAATTATTTTTAAGAAAATAACGTCAACGTTTTATAAAATGTGCTCTTAAGTATTGAAAAGTTGTTTGGACAAAAAGTCATTTCTAGAGCTCGAAATATGCAAGAAATATACAAAGTATATTAAAAAAGTTTATAAAATTAGTTAAATAGTTATACTATTACTACAAAAAAAGAGCTTTTTATATAGCAATTTGAATAACACATGGGAAACACAGGACCTAAGTCGTTTGCACTTGTGTCCAGGTTATTAAGATTTCAGAGAAAATTAAAAATTTTTTTTTAGACGCATATCTCCAAGTTTATTAAAAACTTGTATTTAGTTAACTCTTTAAACTACTTTAGTAGTATCTGTGGAAAATCATCCGCATTTGCGGCGCGGCGGGGGCACGGATTCAGGAGGTCAAACCATTGCCAAAGTCCCCAGCGTAATAGGCCAGGAGAGCATACCGGAGGATAGTGGCGAGGTAAAGCCATTCCACTTTTCTTCAGAGTTGAAAGAGGACCTATCTCTTGCATGGGATGTGGGTCGATAAGCAGCCCGCTGCCAACGACCCTCCAATGACGGAATTGGTCCTACCAGCACACAAGAGGAAGAGAAGGAGGAAATATCGGGAGCGAAACGCGAGAAGGGAAAACCCTCTTATGGGGCTGACCGAACTCCTCCTGTCGCTGTATTCAGTAAGCGGCCCACATCTACGGAGCTGACTCCAGCAGCCAGTGGGACCTTGGTGGATGCACCGATATCCAAATCTGCTGGCGAACGTTGTAAGAAACTTCCTGGTGCCTGCTTGCTGTTAACTAACTGTGAAATCTGTGGATTATAATTTATTTTGAATGCACTTGATTAGAATACTTATAGAAATCCCTATTATTTGTACATCGTATGGTTTTCAATGCAATAATGGGTGTGCCAACTGCAAGTTGTATTAAAAAAATTAAATTAAGTGAAATAACATTGGAAATTGTCAAACAAAAATAAAGTCAAATTATGTAAAGAAGTATAAGTTTGGGCGAATCCGAACCTTACCTATACACCCGGCACACTTTTTTTCACCTTTTGTAAACTACTTTCATAAGCAGGGGCACTTTTTCATCGATTGCAAACATTTTCGATAATATGCTCAGCTAGTCGTAACGAATCGATAAAGCAGTTACATACAGTGGGCGGTGCCACGCCAATTTTGCAAAAAATTCTGAATTATCTGTAGTTTATACTCCGCTCAAGTGCGCTCAGGCATAATAATTAAAATAAAATAACAACTAAATAAAATATTAGTAAACTCAAAATTCTGGCCGACGAAAAATTCTCCAATATTCAATAAATTATTTTTAAAGAAAAAAAAAACTTACATTTTGACCACCCTTTATTTAGTAGTGGGAAAAAACTATATGCTTAACTAGAGGCGCTCAGGTTATCATCAGCGCTTTGCAAGTGCTTCCTCAACTCTTCTGACTTTGATTTTGAAACCGATCTCATGAATGAAACAAAGCTGTAAGCAGTTTACAAATGACTTTCGCAATGAATGGGTTGGCAAAACATTTATTAATCGTAATTGCGTTAACATTTGCAGCAACTAGTTTAATTGCACAAAAGATAAAACTGAAAGCCGGTAGGTAGCCTTGTGGAATGAAATGCTTGAAACTTTAAAAATATGTATGTAGCAATTTTTTGTTTTGTTTTTGATTTTAATTTTTCAAGGTGAGACTTGCAATCCGTGCCAATTTGAATCCTGCAGCTGCCAAATGTGGTCCGAGTGCAATCCATTACGAGACTTGCCTGTGGCTAATATAACATTTTGTAATCGAAGGAAGGGCATTGTTTGCTGTCCAGACGAGCCAAAGGCACCAGAGGATTTTCAGCCACTATCACCAGCTGAGGTCGGTGAGTTTATAAACATGTATGTATGTATGTACATTAGGGTGGTCCAATAAAAAAGTAAAGCCGGAAATTTAATGCACTCATCGCCTAGGATTTTTCTATACCGAAAAAAAATTGTACCCCTTTTTTATTTTTAAATTAAAAAATATTTAGAGGTCCCTCAAGGCGCTCAAAGTTTTCCATGTATTTTATATGGGGAAAAAACTTTTCGTAGAAATGGTATAGAATCCTTGAAAATCAATATTTTTTATTTAACCTTTCTCTATCGTTAACAATTTTTTATAGGACCCCTAAAAACCTCAAATGGGTCCCCCATCGCATTTTTTGAGGTTTTTAGAGGTGCTATAAAAAATAGGTAATAATAGAAAATGGTTAAATAAACAATTGGGTATTGTTATTGGAAGTCAGCTGTTAAGGAAATCATTTCTTGTTTTTAACGTGTAAAAATCGTAGCGCTCGGTATTGGTAAAATTTGTGTTAAACCAGCAGGAAATCTGTAATTGCTTCTTGTGTGTACAAATGAACGTTTCTGGGCTAGTTCAGGCCTATTTCAGGACTATTTCGGGACTAGTTCGGGATTTGTTCAAGATCTGTGCAGGACAGTTTCAGAACCATTTCGGGACTTGGTCGGGATCATTTGTCTGGACCTTTTTGCGACTAGTTCAGCACTATTTCAGAATCATTTTGTGACTAGATCATTTCCGGACGAGTTCAGGACTATTTAGGGGACATTTTGGGCCTAGTTCGGGATGATTTTGGGACCGTTTAAGACTTGTTCAAGATCATTTCGGGACGAGTTCAGAACTTTTTCGATCGTTTCAGGACCTGTTCATAACTAGTCGGGTTCATTTCGAGACCGTTTCTGAACCATTTCTGAGCTATTTCAGGACCATTTCAGAATTAGTTCACGACTATTTCGAGACTAGTTCAGAACTATTTCAGGACTAGTTCGGGTTCTTTTCAGGATTGGTTCAGGACTATTTTCCTTGACCATTTTGAGATACTTCATGACTATTTCAAGGCAACTTTGGGACTAGTTCAGGACAATGATAAGACCATGTTGGGACTGATTCGGGATGACTTTGGTACTAATAAGGGACCATTTCGGTACCGTTTCCAGACTTGTTCGTGATCCTTTCGGAATAAGTTCACGACTTTCTTTAGAAGCGCTTCAGAATAATTAGGACAATTTGTAAACTCTTTTAGAATCATTTCGTCGTGGTTTGAAACTAGTCACGAAATTATCCTAAAATATTCCTGAACAATACCCAAATTGGTCATGAAAAAGTCGTGTGGTGGTCCTAAATTTCTTTCTGTCTCCGCCGATGCATACATACTAATTTATGTTGTAGTTAAAAGCTGATTTTGATACTTACTTGAATGCTTACTTTTCATTGCGAACTTTTTACAGCCTGCAGTGATTTCGCAAAATCTGCACCGGCCAAATGTCCGCGGCCCTTTATAGCCGGTGGTGAATTGGCAAAATCAGGCGAATTTCCGCCGGCTGCTTTGTTGGGTATATTCAATTCAAAAACTAATAAAACCAATTGGATTTGCGGTGGTACGCTGATCAGTGAACGCTTCGTCCTTACAGCGAGTCATTGTACTCTGCGGTAAGTAATCATAAATAACAAACATACGAGGGATGCTGTTTATGTTCTTTCCAAAATTAAAACCGCATCATTCGCATATGTTTGAGAAACTTCTATTATACTCGTATTTATAAAATTTTTCACTCAGTGGCTCGCCAAATATCGTACGCCTTGGTGATTTGGATTACAGCACAACGCTCGATGATGTGGGACTTCAGGAGTTTTCCGTACTAAAAGTCATATCCCACCGGCAATTTTCACTACAACGTTATTTCGATATATTGTTATTGGAATTGAATGGCACTGTCACATTCACCACATATGTCTTACCTGCGTGCATTCTGACGCCGAATTTGATGAAATACCATACTGGTCAGTATTGGGCCGTTGGCTGGGGGCGCGTTAATGATTCGGCAGTTTTCTCTCAGCAATTGCGTCGCGTTCAATTGAAACTTCAAGAAGATTGTAATGAGATCGCCACCGAATCGTATGATTTGGAACGTGGTCTACTCGAACGTACACAATTCTGTGCTGATGGGGAAACCTATGACACTTGCAGTGGTGACTCAGGTGGACCGTTACTTGTACCATTCCCACACAACCAGGAACTGTACAGATGTATGCATATGGTGGCCGGCATTGTATCGAGAGGGCAGGAACATTGTGGTATGGAAGAGTTGCCTAGTATTAATACAAATGTTACGGCTTTTCAAAAGTTTATTGAAAATTTTGTATGGCCATCAAATGAGTAATTTTATGAATTTAAAAACTATTGTTGTCTCTCTTAATAAAGTTTACTAATTGGAAATGAAAATTTGATCGGGAGCCTGATTAATTTATTTGTGCACTAGAGGTCTTTAGATACTATGCGGTGTTCTTTTTGGAACGAACATTGACGGGGGGGTTATCAGATACGGCAACATTTGATATAAGCTATCGAGTAGTACACTTTTGTGGTTCAGCATATCTTAAATCCATTGAGGATTTGTGGTATGAATCGGGTGCTGACTGGACCGGTACGCTGCAAGAATTTAAGCAAACCTAGATACATTAACCAGCCACTAAGGAAATCTAAGAGAAATTATTTTAACTGAAGTTGAAATTAAGCAAATATACAACTTTTCCATGCCAAGTATGAATAACTTCTCCAAAGGGCTAGGGGCAATTTTAAATGTATGTGGCAAAAAAAATATCTACCAAAGGTCTAAAACGGCAACACTGGTCCGGGGTTGCGTGATTAGAATTGGTGGCACTGGGGCTGATGGTTGGGCGGGTGTTGTGCGGTGACTGCTGGGTTTTCTGTGGGTTGTTGCAGCAAGCGGCAAGGGCCAACTGGCCCTCCGGAGGCTTCAGCATGATTTCAGATGGCACCAGTTATTGCAGTTGTTGTTGCGGACTGAGGTTGACGAGTAGTGGATATTTCGGCGGCAGACACTACGTGACCAGGGTAGGGGTTTTGCTTTATGCCGGCGTCGACCAATAGTGTGCAGAGCAGACTTGCCAGTGGGACACGCTCCCAATGTGAAAAAATGGGGTTGGGAGGGGTTGCTTCATAGGTCATGGTCATTGGTCCGAATAGATGCTCCGAGTCAATCCGGTAACATAGAACCGGCCATCTTGCGTTTGAAGATAAGGAGATTCTTGTTGCTGTAGCAGCTACTCACCTGGCCTATATCGGCTTGTCTCTCAATCGTTGCGGTCAAACTCAACTAACCGGAGGCACAGGAAGCATGCAGCTTCTATGGCGTTTGTCCATAGGGACAGCGGCGTTAGCTGAGTGGGGTTTAGGGGGCATGCGAAGAGATGTCTCGAGTCACGAGGTGTCTCTCCACATGCCAGGCACTCGTTCGGCACATCTGCATCTAAGCTGCAGTAGCCAGAGTGAAGTTGGGCTATTGTGGTTCGAGTCTCCCGAGGCAGACGAAACTTTGTCTCGTCCACGTTAGGTGGTTGTGTTCCCAAACCGGCATTCACAGGTCGAGAGTCACTGCATGGAATGTCGGTATGCTGTCGGCTCCAAAGGTGGGTTGATTTATGAACCTCTTGTATTCGTCCGCTAGTTCGTTGAATTCATTGGCCTTTCTGGAGGTGCCACTTCAAACTAATCGGCAATATTTGGAAAATATCGAAATAAAATTGATTTACCGTTTTATGCACAAAAATTTTTTATTCTGAAGTATAGAATATATTCGAAATTCGAACACATTTGTGGAACCACAACCTTACCACAACTATAGGGTTAAGCTTTGTTGACTAGCAGCGCCAACACTCTTTTTTGTAGATTCCAATGCAACCCGCCATCAGCTGTTGAATCGAGCTAATTTCTTATTGGCACGAAATAGACGGACCAATAAATACATTGCGTTAAAATCAGAAAAAATTCAAATTAATTTGTGGCAGGAGACGCTGAGCTTGCTGGGATAATGAAGCAGTTTCCTCGCTTTTCAACGGCACTTCGTGCGAATACAGATTTGGAAGCGAAATTGCCTCAACCTGGAGCGGCTCAAAAGGATTTGAGAAAATTGCAAGAAGAGTAAGTGCACACAACTGTTACATAGATTTCACCATCAACATGCGTCAGATCTAAATTAGAGCATTCCAGAACGTCTACGATTTGCAGGTTTTGCAGGATTTAGTCCAAATTTGTTCCCATACGCCACGTTCACATAAGGTTTATAAAAGGCGAAAACAGCTGTTCCTGTAAAACCTGCAAATCCGTACGGGAGTACGGGAACAGGCAACTTGTGTACATACATATGTACATATACATATATAAGATTCCATAATTTTTTTTTCATATCTGCAGAGAAATCGCGGAACGGCAAACATTGGCGCAGGTACTTGAACAACTGCCTCCTGAAAAGCAACCACAAGCGAAGGTACATCTTCAGAAGCTACGCAACCTAGTACAAGAATGTATGGGCTACGAAGAACAGCCACAGGTGGTGGAGCATGCTGCACTATTTATGTTTTGGCTGCTATTGGAACAACGAGTGGTGACTGTGGCGTCGAAAATGCGTGTGCGTGGTATGTTCGGCAGTATCTTCGAAATGAAACTCACTAAAATACACCAATGCATTGGCGAAATACGTCAGTTGCTGGAAGATTTTCAACTTGAGGCTTTAAAACACTGGAATCGCAAAACAAATCGAGATGCGCTAGACAAAAAAAGTTGGGGCACAAATATACGCGTACGCTTGAAAGGACCACCCTTGGGCGACTTACAACAACTACAAGACCTTGCACCTAACGCTCAATTACAAAAAAATGCAGCTATTAATTTTTCAATGCAATGGAACAAAGATGCCGAACAACTGCGCAATGGGGAGAACGAGAGTGAATTGTCGCAACTGCTAGAGCTGTCAGTAACTTCCGGTGATCCGAAACTTGTAACCAAAGTAAGCGAGCAGCTTAGCTCGAAATGCAGCAACAATGAATTGCAAAATGAACTTATTGAACTTCTGGGATTTGATCGCTTCGATTTGGTAGAGCAGCTGCTGGAACAACGCACCACAATTGCTGCAAAACTGGAACAACATGAAAAGCGTGAACAACGTTTACAACTTACCAAATTAGCTCAACAACAACGAATAACTGGCAACAACGAAATGAGGCCGACAGTTACCAAAACCGTTGTGGTGCAATCAGCACTGGAAAAAGAGCTTTCTAAACAAAATCGGCGCGACGGTAAGAAGATACAACGTATGTTGCAAAGCATGAATCGCAACAACGATGACGACGACGAAGCTGTTGCACGCGCATTCAATCCAACGCAACTACGCCTTCAACAACAACGTAAATTGCTCGAAAATGTGCAACAACAACCAGTACTAAAAACTACACAACGCTTACAGGAAATGCGTGCAGCCGCTAGCTACCACAGCAACACAATACAATATCCATACGTATTTGATAGCCAACTTACAGCCAAACAACATGCCGGGTTTATAGGCGGCAATCGCATAAGTTTGCCAGACCATGCCGAGCGCAAAGACAACAAACAGTATGAAGAAGTGAAAATACCAGCAAACGAACCGCCTCCACTTAGTATTGGCAATAATCGTATTCAAATTTCTGATCTCGATGAAATCGGCAAAATGGCATTCGAGAATTGCACAGAACTCAATCGCATACAATCGGTGGTCTATCCGGTGGCATATCACAGCAACGAGAATATGTTGGTGTGCGCTCCCACTGGTGCTGGTAAAACCAATGTGGCTATGCTAACTATGGTGCATACGATACGAGCACATCTCGAAGGAGGTATCATCAATCGCGACCAATTCAAGATTGTTTATATAGCGCCGATGAAGGCTTTGGCAGCAGAGATGGTTGAGAATTTTGGCAAGCGTTTAAAATCTCTGAATATTGTTGTGAGAGAATTGACTGGCGATATGCAGTTATCAAAAACAGAAATGACACAGACGCAGGTGTTGGTCACAACGCCGGAAAAGTGGGATGTGGTCACTAGAAAGGGTGAGACTTTATTAATCCTTTAGGCGATTCTTCTAAAGGTTTAGATTTACTATACAGAGGAGCACTCTTAAGCCCTCTTCCCTCTTCATTAATTTTTTTTTCTTTTCTCCACCGACAGGTGCTGGCGATGTAGCACTCATTAGTTTAGTGAAGCTGCTCATCATCGACGAAGTACATCTGTTGCACGGTGAACGCGGTCCTGTTGTTGAGGCGGTAGTCGCACGCACTCTGCGCCTCGTAGAATCTTCACAGAGCATGATACGTATTGTCGGACTATCGGCTACATTGCCTAATTACATCGATGTAGCGCACTTCCTTCGTGTCAATCCAATGAAAGGCCTTTTTTATTTCGACTCTCGCTTCCGGCCCGTGCCCTTGGATACTAATTTCATTGGCGTTAAAGCAGTAAAACCGCTCCAACAACTCTCCGATATGGATCAAATTTGCTATCAAAAATGTTTGGAAATGGTTAAGGATGGACATCAGGTCATGGTATTTGTACATGCGCGTAATGCCACTGTGCGCACAGCAACAACCCTGCGAGAATTGGCGCAGCAAAACCAAACCACTTCCTTCTTTTTACCCAACGAAACTACGAATAGCTTTAATTTGGCACAGCGCGCTATACAAAAAAGCCGCAACAAACAGTTGGTTGAGCTTTTTGCTTGCGGTCTGGGCATTCATCATGCGGGCATGCTGCGCTCCGACCGCCAGATGGTCGAAAAGTACTTCGGTGAGGGTCACATCAAAGTGCTAGTCTGTACGGCGACACTGGCATGGGGTGTTAATCTACCCGCGCATGCTGTTATTATAAAAGGTGTGTTTGTTTTTGGATATTATACTGATTTGATATAAAATATTAACACTTTCCATAACAATTTCAGGAACTGATATTTACGATTCGAAGCATGGCTCATTTATAGACCTCGGCATTTTGGATGTACTGCAGATTTTTGGTCGAGCTGGTCGTCCTCAATTTGATAACAAAGGTGTTGGCACCATCATTACCACCTACGATAAGTTGAATCACTATCTGTCGCTGCTAACCAATCAATTCCCAATCGAATCGAATTTCATACAGTGCCTCGCCGATAATCTAAATGCCGAGATAACACTAGGCACCATATCGAATGTCGAAGAGGCCATTGAATGGCTGAGTTACACGTATCTCTTTGTTCGAATGCGCATCAATCCACATGTCTATGGCATCGAATACAGCGATCAACAAAAAGATCCCACCCTGGAGGCTAAGCGTCGGGGTCTCATCATGTCTGCCGCTTTGAGCTTGGACAAGGCGCGCATGATTCGCTTCAATCAGCGCACAATGGATTTCAACATTACAGACTTGGGACGCACAGCATCGCATTTCTATATTAAATATGATACAGTCGAGATTTTCAATGATCTGCTTAAACCTTTTATGAATGAAGCCGAGATTTTCGCAATGATTTCACAGGCACAAGAATTTCAACAACTTAAAGTACGCGACGATGAGTTGGAAGAGTTAGATGAATTACGCACTTCCTACTGCAGAGTTAAAGCGGCCGGCGGCAGTGAGAATATCAGCGGCAAGGTGAGTATATGAATATTGAAAAATGAATAGAGAAAAACTTAATTTTTTTACCGCTAATGAGGTCATCATGCTCTTTAAATCGAACACTTTTTAAATAAATTATTTGATCACTACATACATACGCTTGTGAATATATTTGTCCACCGCGCTTCTCCACAGGTCAATATCCTCATGCAGACATTCCTCTCACATGGCTATGTGAAATCTTTTTCACTCATCTCCGATATGGCCTACATAGTCCAAAATATAGTACGTATTACCCGCGCACTCTTCTCCATTGTGCTGCGCAACAACAACGCCATACTGGCCACACGACTTTTGCAGATATGCAAAATGTTCGAACGACAGCAATGGGATTTCGAGACGCCGCTCCGGCAATTTTCTGCCATCAATGCTGAAACTATTGACAAGCTTGAGAGGCGCGGCATCAGCCTATATACGCTACGTGAAATGGAGCAAAATGAATTGAAGGAGATATTGCGCAATCCGCGTTTCGCTGATTTGGTGCTTCGTTCGGCGCGCGAGGTACCCATGCTTGATGTCGAAGCAATGCTGCAACCAATAACGCGCACGGTACTGCGCATAAAAATTGACGTCTGGGCCAATTTCAATTGGAACGATCGTGTGCATGGGAAAGTCAGTGAGCTATTTTGGTTGTGGATTGAAGATCCAGAATCGAATTTCATCTATCACTCCGAGCAATTTCAGGTGATGTTTGAGATGAGTCGCTTTGACAGCATTTTTTAAGCTGTAAATATGTTACTCTTTTCTACAGGCAACACGCAAGTTTGTTTATGGCGGCAAGCCGCAACAACTCGTAATGACCATACCACTGAAAGAACCATTGCCACCGCAATATTATGTACGCATTGCAAGTGATAATTGGCTCGGGAGCGCCACATGGACTGCCCTCTCATTTAAACATCTCGTGTTGCCCGAGCACCATCCGCCACTCACCGAGTTACTGCCATTACATCCCTTGCCAGTCTCAAGTTTGAAAAATCCGCAATACGAATCGCTATATAATTTCACACACTTCAATCCAATTCAGACACAAATCTTTCATTGTCTGTATCATACCGACAATAATGTGCTACTGGGCGCACCCACGGGCTCTGGTAAAACTATTGTCGCTGAAATTGGCATTTTCCGTGCTTTCAACAAGCATCCACGCGCCAAAATTGTATATATTGCACCACTAAAGGCGTTGGTTAAAGAGCGTATATACGATTGGAAGCGTCGTTTTGAGGGCCCACCTCTGCGTTGGAAAGTGGTGGAGCTGACCGGTGACACAACGCCTGATATACAGGCCATACGTGAGAGTCAAGTTATTGTGACAACACCGGAGAAATGGGATGGTATAAGTCGTTCGTGGCAGACACGTGAATATGTGCAGGATGTGGTTTTGATTGTGATCGATGAGATACATTTGCTGGGCGAAGATCGTGGGCCGGTCATTGAAGTGATTGTCTCGCGTACGAATTTTATCACTTCGCATACGGGGCGTACCATACGCATTGTCGGCTTGTCAACGGCATTGGCCAATGCGCAAGATTTGGCTAATTGGCTGGGCATCAAAAAGATGGGTCTGTACAACTTTAAGCCATCGGTGCGTCCTGTGCCACTACAGGTGCATATAAATGGATTTTCCGGTGAGTATAATATATTGTATATTCAATTAAACTTGACATATACACCTTTTTAATGCATTTCGCAGGTAAACACTACTGTCCACGCATGGCCACCATGAATCGTCCCACATTCCAAGCTATTCGCACTTACTCACCCTGCGAGCCGGCCATCGTTTTCGTATCGTCACGCCGTCAGACGCGGCTGACCGCACTCGATTTGATCACTTTTGTCGCGGGTGACGAGAACCCTAAGCAATTCCTTCATTTGCCCGAGAACGAAATGCATCAGATACTGCAAGGAATCAAGGAATCTAACTTGAAATTCTGTCTTGCATTTGGCATTGGTCTCCATCACGCTGGTCTGCAGGAACAGGATCGCAAGACTGTCGAAGAGCTATTTCTCAATCGCAAAATACAAGTACTCATCGCAACTGCCACACTGGCTTGGGGCGTTAATTTGCCGGCGCATTTGGTCGTCATTAAAGGCACTGAATATTTCGATGGCAAGGTAAAAAAATATGTGGACATGCCGATAACCGACGTGCTACAGATGATGGGTCGTGCCGGTCGGCCACAATTTGATAACGAAGGTGTTGCTGTAGTGCTGGTGCACGATGAAAAGAAAAATTTCTATAAGAAATTCTTATACGATCCATTCCCCGTTGAGTCAAGCTTGTTGGGCGTGCTGTCGGAGCATATAAATGCGGAGATCGTTTCAGGCACTGTACAAACCAAACAAGCTGCACTGGACTACCTAACGTGGACTTATTTTTTCCGACGCCTGCTACGTAATCCAACCTACTACAACTTGGACGGCTTGGAACCGGAGCAGCTGAATTCGTTCCTGTCATCGTTAATTGAACGCGTTATTTATGAATTACAATCGGCAGCTTGTGTTCTGCAACGCGAAAACTTGCTGATACCGACATTCCTCGGCCGTATAGCGTCCTTCTATTACTTATCGCATCGCACAATGAAACACTTTCTGGACGATTTGGCCGAGGGTATGAGCACAAGTGAAGTACTGGCGGCCATTGCCGACTCGTATGAATTTGATCAGCAGCCGGTGCGTCACAACGAGGATAAATACAACGAGTGAGTACCCGAAATTCCTTTAATTAACGGATATTGGGGTTATTTTAACCCAAATATCTTGCTAAGTATCAGCTCCAACAACAGAAGTATTCAACTTAATTGCATATACTAGATATATTACAAATAATGTTTTCTATACAAATAGGGAACTTGCTGAATCGTGCCGCTTCCGTCCACCAGCTCCCACCTGGGACTCACCCTACACAAAGACATTTCTGCTGTTGCAAGCGCATTTTTCGCGCCTCTCACTGCCGAATTCCGATTTTCTAACGGACACCAAATCTGCGTTGGACAATGCCACGCGTGTCATGCAAGCCATGGTTGATTATACCGCCGAACGTGGCTGGCTAACCACGACGCTACGACTCCAGCAGCTAATGCAATGCGTTATACAAGCGCGTTGGTTTGATGAATCGGAATTTTTGACACTACCACATGTGACCGCCGCCAATGTGTCTGTCTTCTATAACATAGAACACACGTATGCTTACCTAACTCTGCCGGCGCTCAAAGAACTGTGCAGGCAGGATTACGAACGTCTAGCTGGGCCGCTGAGAGATGTGTTTGAAGAGCAGGAAATCGAGCAAATCTATCGGGTATGAAATACAGTGCAATCAGTCTGCATTTGAGTTTATTTTTTAACTAAAAAATTTGTTTTTCTTCGACAAGGTGGTGCAAGCTGTGCCTGAAATTAGCGTGCAAATCTCTATACAAGGTAAGTATTATGAGGCTATGGAAGCTGTGCGTGTGCTAACTACAATGCCATCGACGGACAACTGGACGGAGATACATCCAAATGAGGTAGCAACATTTCCCGTGTCTTTTATTAACAAAATTTTTAATATATATTAATCTGCTTCAGGATTATGTACTCAGCGTTGAAATGAAACGCGTAAATTGGAATGCGCGTGAGCAGCGTGTACATCACGGTAATCCCACGGCTATACACTGTCCGAAATACCCGAAGGGAAAGAGTGAAGCCTGGTTCCTAACCCTGGGTTCCCAAGCCAATAGCGAGGTACTCGCCATGAAGCGTGTAAGTGTGCGTGGTCAGCGTGCCACCAATCGTATTTGCTTCCAATCCACACCACGGCGTGGACGTGTGGTACTAACGCTGTACCTTATGTCCGACTGCCTAATTGGCGTTGATCAACAATTTGAACTGCAATTCGATGTAGTTGACGCGAAAGCTTAAAAATTCACAAAAATAGATGTTACAGTTGGAGGCATTGGGGAATCTGCCAGCTAGAGACTGAAAATTGAATTTGAAACCACTGTTTCCCTCTTTCAGTTTATCCTTGCAAATATTAAAACGGTTTGTAGTTACTATAAGTAAAGGCAAACTTGTAAGTGTATTCATACTACCTGTATGTAAGTCTAACCTGTTACAATAATGTAGCTTTATTTAGCGAATATTAATGCACACTTAAAAACCAAAACTTTTTGGTTTATAATCCATCTAGTATCTATTTTATTATTCATTATTATCTCTTTATATTTTTGTAACTTAACTAAATTAAGTTCGTAAGCGAATATTCAAATATGTATTTGAGTCAGGGAAATGAAGTCCAATAAAGTTGAAGAATCAAGAAGTTGCTTGGTTTTTGAGGAAGCAGCATTTAACTTTCTGGTAACCGTATGTTAATCTGGCCAGTGGTAGGCTTAAAGATCAGTTAGTCCAGACTTAACTTAATTTAACTTACCGTAAAAGCTCAGTGAGTCTAGACTTAATTTTCGTAAATTAACTGAACTTAATGTTTTGGTCCACCTGTTATATGAGTACGACAATTGCCATTTAATAAGGTAATTCTATATTAAAAGATGAAGACATCCGACGGTATTGCGAGCATTTCAGTAATTAGGAAATTGTTCGAGATAGATTGATGATTAAACAATAATTTTAAAATTGGTCCGAAATTAACTGTCATTTATTCACAACCCCTTAAGGCCCGTTTACATACAACTTTGGCGTTGCGTTGGCGTTGGCGTCGCTTCGACAGCTGACTATGAATACATGTATTTATATGAAAGTCTCCATATAACCAAAGTTGGGCAACGCCAACGCCAACACAACGCAGAAAGATGGCCAACTCTCAACTTTTCGCGCGCGTCGTTCGTCAGCTGTTCTAAATAATCAAAATTATGTGATTTAATTTTAATTTTTAATCAAATGCGGGCAAGAAATATAGTTTTTAATGCAATTATTGATGTAAAAATTTTGATTTATCAGCCGCTAGTATGTTAATTTAGTGACCAAAGTATTCTGTGCTAAGCGTTCATTGTAGCAAGCACGGGCGTTACGCGCGCCGCTGTCAAAGCGACGCCAGCGCCAACGCAACGCCAAAGTTGTATGTGGACGGGCCTTTATCAACTGAGCGTTTCACTTGCAACTCAATCATTGAGCAATTCGGCAGCTGCTGGGATCGAAATGGCCTATAGCCAAAATTTACTAGGCACCGATGACTACGTACAAGAATGTGCCAAGGCTACGTGGATGTATATCAAAAAGATGAACAACCTTTGTGATGAGTTAAATTGTGAAAACTTAATTTCGACAAATCCTTTTCGTTAGGGTAAGTGCTCTTTGCACTATGTCATAGAGGGTGTTCCCAAATTTTCCCCTCGCTGTGATTACCGGGTATCCTTGGCACATTATTCCATTATTGGATAGTAACTCTATTAATTAATCTTTTAATATGCTCCATAGGGGACATTACCGGACTAAGTTTAAACGCCCGATCTGGCTGCTTTAAATTAAGATCAGCCAATCAAATGTCTGCCATCTGTTCAATTTAAACTCAGTTTACGTAATCTAAGTTTAAACTGGCACTGAAAAACTGGCCCTTAGAGAATCAAAATGAAACAGATTTCGACGTGGCATTAAGTTACGTTAAGTTTCGGCTGTTCAATTATAAGCAACACCCATTTAACAGAATTTTTAAGAGAGCCGTAAGTAACGTTAAGTTGCCATAATCAGACCATAAGAATGCGCAAAGCACGACCTCACCCCACTCAGTTGCGTTCCGTATGTTACTTGACAACTGAAACAGCGCAGTGTCCAAGGTGTATTCAATAGGTGATAGCAGTACACGGATACCACCTTATTGAATACGCCTTGGCAGTGTACCTTGATCTACCAGCCCGATATACATGTTGCCCATGGTGTAACGGTAATGAATCTAGGGTGGTGGTTCTTATATGGTTGTCTAGAAATTTGTCTATTACCTTTTGAGCAAACAATTTTCGACTCCATGCATATAACACGGTGTCGGTAACGTCGATAATGATGTTTAACCGGGGATTAGTGCAAACCAGGCTTTGAGCAACCGACCCTAAATGGGAATATGGAATAGCGCCTCGGCAAAAGTTTCCGTGTATAAACACAGACTTAGTGACGGCGGGAATTCTCAACAACTTAACTATCGATAGTGACTTAAAACCATCGATAGTTATGGAAAATTAAAATTATCGATAGTTCTCCCGATCTAGTCAACGTCAACGTCAAACGTCATCGTCAAACGTCAAACGATAGTGAATGTCAAATTTTGTTGAAGAAGAATAGCGGTCGCAGCCACATCAGCAACTACCAGGAAGCGTTTGGGTGAATCCAACACAAATAATTACTTTGTACGGTACAACAACGAGCAATTGTTTAGTGGTATCACCATGGCGATAAAACCAGGCATGGGACGTAAGTCCAGCAGTAAAAATCCACCAATTTTTAGTCATGAATTTGTTATACAAAATCATGCGGACATTATATCCTGCGTGGCCATGGTATTCGTTGTGGCACTAATGGATGAATCGACATCACCATTTGCCAGCGCCTTCATCTCGCTACATCACAATGTGACCGGAGAGGAGCCCAGCCGCGAAAATCCACACGGTAAGCCATTTAGCTACGTGGCAGGCATCAAGGATTATTGTGCTATCTTCTTTTATACGCTAACATGCATTATTATGCACGCCATCATACAAGAGTATGTATTAGATAAAGTTTCGAAAAGGCTGCATCTTTCCAAATTCAAACTTTCGCTATTTAATGAGTCTGGTCAATTGATTGTTTTCTACGTGTTTTCATTCTTCATGGGTGCCAATGTCATTTTGCGTGATGGCTACTTTAGTAAGTTTTCGCTGTTGTGGGAGCAATTCCCCAACCATCCAATGTCGTTCCTGCATAAGCTGTTCTTCATCATTCAACTGGCTTACTACTTGCATATGCTTCCCGAGCTTTATTTCCAGAAGGTGAAGAAAGAGGATCAACAGAGTAAAATCATTCATTCCATTTGCGGTTTTTCTGTCATCTGCTTGGCGTATACATTCAGTTTCCAGCGCATTGCATTAGTGCTGTTGACCTTGCACTATTTAGGTGAAATAGTGTCGCACGTTTTCCAACTTATTGGTGTCTTCGATCGTGATGAGAAACTCGCCAGTGTACGTTTCGTCAATAATGTGACTTTCGTATTTGTACGCTTCGCTACAATGGTAATTGGTGTGCTGACATTGTACTATGGTGTTGCCACGGAAACGGTGCTACGCGCCTATGCAGCACTTGTCGGCCTAATGGTGTTACAAGGCTATCTAATATATTCCTTCATTACTGAGGAACTGCGCGCAACGCGCGAAGCTAAGCGTGAAGCTAAACAACATCAGCAACAGCAGGCGAAGAAGTCAAAGGCGGCGAAGGAAAAGGCGAAAAAGAAGAAGGAGAGTGACTTGCCAGAGGCTGATCAGAGTCCCAGTCCCGCGAAGGCGAAGGCCAAGTAAGCATTCTATGGTGAGTGCCTAACAAACTACGTCCACCAACAACAACAAAAACATTAACAATAACATGTTTGTCGATTATGCGGATGAGCATCTTTCCATAATTACCAGCTCATTTAAATAATTGTACAACTAAGATTTCGAGTTTTTCGAAGATAAGCACTTTTAGTGCTGGATTTTAGGTTTTCTACAGTCACACATACAAACATACACATTTCCATGAACGGATTGAGGTTTTGAGTTGTGTATAGTAGGAAAAGGGAAAGCGATGAATGAATGCATTTACATACATACTTAACAACCAAATTTCATTGCAACTCAAAGCCAGATTGTGTGCAAGCAATCCAAACAAAAATCAAAAGCTTCTTCAAGCCAACGCCAACGCCGCCGCTGCCGCTGTTGCTGCATCTGAGGCATATTTTTAAATATAATTAAAGCTTAGTGATTTTCATTTTATTTTTGTACTGTTTATATGAACGTTTTCACATATTTGTTTCTATGAAAAACAAAAAAAAAAATTATAAAAAATTTATATACTATGAAACATAGTGCAATGTAGCCACTGCTGCTCCTTTTCTACTAAGCATCTATATTAAATAATTATTTGAATTTACACTGAAATTCTTCCAACACAACATGTAAAACCTATTTAAAGAGTAAAAAACAACAAAAGTAAATATTTAAAACTTAACGAAATAGTTATGTATGCATGAGTAAAATCTACGAAAATTACAATTCAAAATACACTCCGCTAAAAGTAAGACATTTGAGACTGACATAAGCTCAACTTGCAAATTCCGCAAACATGTATTGCGATACACACACACTGAACCATGACAAAGTTAATACATATAAAATTATAATAAAAATTTATAGAAATAAAAATTAGTATAGATGCAATCTTAAACAAAAAAAAACATCTTAAAAATAACGATAAAAATTGTTCTGACAACTTTTGAAACAGGTATGCACGAACGCTAAAGAACTTCAGGTCGAATTCGATAACGTAGTTTTTAAGAGATTGTAAGCTGGCTTCAATATTTTTGTATGAATTATGCACAAAACGCAAAAAAAATCGTAAAACGGATACCATGTGAAAAGTTTAAGAAAAAATATTCCATATTTAAGAGAACATTTCTTGTTCTCAATTTTTGATTATTTTATACAAAAAACATTAGTGAATTCGTAATGAATAATATTCAGCTGATTTAAATTTACATGTTTATATCACTGTAAAGCTACCAAGTTCAATAAAAATTTACTTTAAATTATCGAAAAACAGGACCAGTGTTACTAAGGGGGGTTGTGAAAAACATACAGACTCCAAAAGAGTTGTGGGTGTGCTGCTGCAGTAACAGCCCTTCGCCAGATAAAAGCCTGGGTCCTTCTGGTTAATATATGTAAAGGCGGAAAGAGGCGTGGTGGAATCAAAACATGTTACTGTTACACCATTGGAAAGAGGAATATATGTGTACATTCATATATCGTCACCCTTATGCATGAATCTGCAAATTTATCAGTTTTGAGTTATTGGGTATGCACGGAAACTACATCTTTTGCAAATTCCAATGCATAAATGTAGAGTTAAGTCCAGTAGCAAAAAACTTTCAAACTTGATTTCCCAAAATTTTAATTTTTACACATTCATGTTTCTGCCATACGGGCGACGATATTTAAAATTTTATAGCCGTCATCAATTCGCCAACGGTTAACGAGTGGCGAAACGTACGAACTCAATGAGGTACAACCAAACTCGCTATCGTCTATCCGTGGTAGCTAACTTTGTTGTTGCTTTCACATACAAAATTCTTCTTTAAGCGACCGGAACTCAAATATAGCGAGCGAGAAGTGGCGAATCGAAGACGGCTTATGTTTGCTGATACAATTTTTTTAAATAAAAAAACTTAAAACGACGTTCCATCATTTTGTTTTTGGACAGGAAATGAAAACAAGCAGCCCCGCATCCGGTTTTACATATATTAACCTTTTGAAGTACTGTCTGGTCGGTCTGTTTCAACTCGGTAATCTCTGTCGTTTATTTGGCCGTTGCGGCTGGATGACTTTATCTAACATTTTCATTAAGCGCATCATGACGTTTAATATTAATTTTTTAAAACTAGCCGTATAAAACCTCAGCGCAACACTTGCGTCATTTCTACTGCGCCTGAAAATATGCCGCAACACCTGTTTTGTCGATCACAAGCATACAAACTCCGAGTTAAACGCCATAAGCGCTGTTATCGACTCCACCATGCATATATACGGTGACCATTCGTACCGATTTTATCGGGACAGTACCGATTTTGAGAAAATTGTCCCGCTGAATATTTTTTAGTAGTCGGGACGTATAAGTGGCCCGCTTTTTCCTATTTGTACCGGCTAGGTCCCGTTTTTTCAGTATTTTCTTTATTAATTTAATAAGAATATCCTTGTACTCTGACCCGGAAACAATTTTTCGTACAAACATGACAGCACTTTCGTTATCACCAACGACATAGAATATACAGGAGACATAAACATAGCCAGCATCTTTACTTTCTGTCATCTTTGGTTATGTTTTATTCTGTCAAACTGTCGCTATATTGCAGTCTATTTTTCTTGTCACAGTTTTTTTTTAACTTTGGTAATGATTTGTTAAGTTTTTTTTACGAAACAATTCTAACTTGATTTTAGGAAATTATTAAAATTAATACTAATTCCTTTAAAAAAAATCATAGATATGAAAAGTATAAATAAGGGAAGATACCTTTTAGCATTCTTTGGCTATTCCCCTTTCGATTATTTAATGTTTATTATTTTTTTATGAAAGTGAAAGACTATGTAAGTCAAAATTTAAAATTTTGTACAAAAAATACCATTCGATTCAAAGTGCTAATTTTAAATTACTAGGAATTACCGCTGATTTTTGTAATTTTTTTTTGTGAGAGGTGTTGCTAATGTTCTCCTGACAAAAAAGTAAATTCTGGAACATACCTTGCATGGAAGAAAATGCGCGAACAAAAAATTGCCAAAAATCAACGGTAAGCCCAACCTACTTCCAACGTGTACTTTATTATACTAAAATTTAATGGTGAACATTTGCTAAAATTCGTGGATTTTTTTTTAAATGTTCGACAAAGTTTGAAATTTAAAGTTATAAGTTTTTTTTAGCATCAAAAATAATAAACATTTTTAAACCAAACAAAGTAGCCAAAACTTGCTAAAGGTTCTATTCCTATTTACATTCTCGCCACCGTACATATGTATATGTGTATATATTTTTTCGATCCTTTTTCTATGTTTTAAATAAAACTATATTAAAAGATGTCATGTCTTTTTGTGCTTGTTTTGTTAGCTTTAGAAATGTTGCGATTTTTGCCCACATAAATCTGTATGCATAGAACGTGTTATCGATGAAGCAGGGTTTGTGTTACCCGGACCGTTAGGCGCGCCCACCTCTGTTTGCGCTGCTATACCGACTTATTCTGATATTTTTTCATTTACTGTCATTCTAATCGGTTTGGGACCGAAATGCATTACCGCGAATCGGTTAGGGACCAAATTGCCACAACCTTAAGTTTTAATTAATCGCACCAGTCTGGTAACCACTGTACACGCGTTTCAGGCGCAGAATAAAAGTTAATAATTTTCGTGTTGGAGAATATAAGAAAATGTAGTTTTCTTATTTGAACGCACAATAAAAGCTAAAAAGTGCTTTTTCATTTGCCACTGTGCAACAAGTGCAAAGAAAATAAACAGATGCTGTGATAAAGCGATTTTACTGAGCTAACGCAAAGTGCAAAAAAATTCAACGCAAAACCATTGTCGAGTTGTGACGTCTAGGAAGTGCTATCGAACACAAGAAATGTTTAATTATCGTGTTTCTCTGTCGCAGCATTTATTATCACCATCATCGTTATTCGCTATCTCATAAACAGCGTACAGCATATTTAATCGCTGGTGGAGCAGCAGAGCAACGTGGGCATTGGAACTTTAGCAACATTAGTGTGGAAAAGGGCCATTAAAAAGTACACAGTGGTCGAGAACCCACAGCAGCCGCAGTACGCAGTACACATTCATAGCGGTGTACCTGTGCTTGTGCTCCTGCTATTGAGTGCTAGTGCTGTGTATATATAGGGTAGCGGGTGGAGGTGGAGGTCGGTCTTCTCTGCCTTATCAGCTCCGAAGTGAGTGCTGCTGCCACTGGGCCGCTTATTGCGCCCTCCATATCACAGTCAACGTACGACGTCGTTGTTTTTGAATAGTGCCGGCCAACGAAGGTCAGACGATATGATATTTATTTGTTATTGTAGTTTTGGTTAAGTTAAAAAGTGAGATTCGTCACATACATACATATATTTAACACTTTCGTATCAGCTTAAATTAATACGGCGGCGCACGCAGCGACATTTTTGTCGCGCGCGCTTACGCCAAACGCTGGATATCACAGCAGCAAACGCGCCATATTGGTGAGCAATACACAAAGTATTTTATATGGACATGACAGACAAGAATGTTGGTCATAATGGAAACCAGTGGTCGAAAGCAACGACATCGGCAGCAGCTGCGATTGCCGCGCAACAACATAAACAACTCAACAGCAGCTCATTGCCTGGCACACAACCAATGCATCATCAACAGCAGCGTCTATATGATCCATCAGCGTTAATGCCAGCACACAGCAGCATTTTTGGAGCAGGTGTTGGTGCCGCACTTGGACATCCAGCACATCCGGACGGTATAGCAGCTTATGCGGGTGCACGTTTTCACCCACCTCCACTACCAACTCAGCAGTCTACATTAGATGCAGCAAACTTATCACATACAATAGCGCACCAGCATTCTCACCATCAACCGCAACACTTACAGCATCAACCATCGCCAACGCATGCCCCGACAACAGTGCTAACAGCGCCAGCTGCCGCTTCGCCAAGTGTACCTGTACAAAGTGGCTTTGTGCCACCACCATTACTGCCAGGTGCAGCCGCTGCAGTGGCAGCAGCCGCTACGTCAGTTTTAACGCCAAATCCATTTGCAGTCACACCACAGCTGGAGCATCTTACCTCACATTTAAATTTGCAACAGCAAATAGAATTGAACAAAATCATGAACGTAATGAACACACAGGTTAGCGCAGTTGGTGTAGCATCAGGTGGAGCTATGGGAACTGGAGGCAGCAATGCAGGCAACTTAGCAAGTCAAGCGCAAGCGCAAGCACGACATATTGCAACGGATGTGCCAATGACCAGTGCTGGCAGCAACAGCAGCAGTTGCGGTAGTGCTGCTGTGTCCGGTGCTATAAACAGCACAATTGCGGAGAATGTATTAAATGCGATAAGTGCAATGCCAAATAGTAGTGTAAGCGCTAGTGCGCCAGCAGTACATGGGCGCTTGACAGGCATTGGAGTAAGGATGCCGAATGATGAACGTTTACGTCGGATACAAGAGGTGGTTGAGTCGGGTGTAAGGTAAGAAAGGGAGGATTAACCGTTAAAATATATTTCCTTACAAATTTTTACTATACCTTTTTAGTGAGTTAGCAAAGCAGCAAATACAACAAATCGTTGATCGTGTCGCAACCCTGAAGCCCGTTGAAAAATTATTGCTTTATTTGCGTTTACCCGGAGAGGCGCCCGAAACAGGTATTAACATTCATTTTATATACATTCATATCTTAAATGCAATATATCTTCCATTTATTAGTTATTGTTGTCAGAAAAATGGACGTACATCCATATCGCACAACCTCTTCAAAAGAGGCTCAACGCGAAAAAAATGCATAAATCAATACATAGGATTTATCTACAATTAATGCAAATATATATATATCGTCGTTTAAAGTACAAAACCGTGTATAGTCGTTCTGCCAAAATTGGATTTGCTCACACAAGCTTTTGGCGCACACCTTATCCATTCGTCGTATATTTCAAAATGGTTCTCTTTTTTATAAAGCAATCGCATATCTGCCTAGTATATTTCAGGACGAATGGATAAGGATTGAGCCAAGAGCTTGTGTGAGCAAATCCAATTTTTGGTAGTCAATGTCAGTTACGCGGATCTGCAGAATCACGATACGCGGTTTTGTACTTTAAACGACGATATATATTTATATTAAAATCGCTGGCATTTTACATCTAAACTAACTGTTTGGATAAAAAAATCGATTCAACTCTTTAAACCTTCTTCCTCCACCACGAACTGTGTTAGAAGCAAGCAAGCCTCCTCTTTTATATATTTGACGCAAATACCCATAATCACAGAAAATTGCAAAATATTTAATTTTTTTCTTTAGTAATAAACGAAAAGCTTACATTTCTACTTATACATACATAGATCCACTGCGTCATCCGCAAAACCCATTGGGAACACGTTCTGAAATAAATCACACCATCAACTGGGTCCGCTCACACCTGGAACATGACCCCAAAGTGTCGATACCAAAGCAGGACGTATATAACGATTATATGTGAGCAACAATTGTTTTGTAGCACTTTAAAAAGCAAATAATTTTTCCATTGCAGCGCATATTGCGATCGCCTTGACATCAAACCGCTTTCGACAGCAGATTTTGGTAAGGTAATGAAACAAGTGTTTCCCGGTATAAGACCACGCCGTTTAGGCACACGTGGGCATTCGCGTTATTGCTACGCGGCTATGCGTAAAACCACGAAATTGGATGCGCCACAATTGCCACTTCTAGACACGGCTACAGTAAATGAGTCGTCTTTGGTTGGCGGCGTTTTAGGAAGCACCAGTTCATTTGGTGACTCCACTGCGAGTGCTGGCGATATGGAAACATGGCAAATAATACGGAACTGGGCTGAAAATGTTTTGCATGTAAAGGTTGAGAGTGTCCAGGAACTTGCCTCTTGCATCAAAAGCTCCACAGGTGCGGGTAGTGAATTGCCAACATCAAATGCGCGAGCTACTGGTGGTACTGTACACAAAAAATACACACCGCGCGAGCCGAAAGAGAAACGTTTAATGGCGGTAAGTTTTTATACCCGAGCGCACTTGTGCTTTGTTCACATAACGGTTGTCTGTAACAGGCAAAATGAATCGAGATAGATATAAACAAATGTATACATAAATGATAAGAATGAAAAGAAAAATGGATTAAGCGATGACTGTCTGTCCGTCCATACGTCCGTCTGTGCACACGATAACTCGAGTAAAAATTGAGATATCTTAACGACACTTGGTACGTGTACTTCTTTCGGTTGTAGGACGGATGATATTGAAAATGGGCAAAATCGGACAATAACCACGCCTACTTCCCATATAACGGTAACTTATGATCACATATGTATCTCGGTAACCGTTCTACCAATTTGTACCAAACACGGTATTGTTATTGTGCTTGCCACATAAAAGCAAAGCGTTGAAAATTATTGAAATCGGACTAAAATTACGACCGCTTTTCATATAACGGTAAATTTCGAAATTTAAGGACGCTAATTTACTCAAAATTGATACACGCCGGCTTACCATGTAGCGGTAGCATATATTTAATACTTGCGCCGGGTATTTAATGTTCGGCTCAGCCCGAACTTTGACTTTCTTACTTGTTAAATTACCCTTTAAGAATGTAAAAAGTATGTGGTTAATTGGAAAATTTAAAAATACTATATTTTAGGATATGGGCCCACTCAAGAAACGTCGCAAGAAAAAGCGTAAAGGCTCATCATCATCGGAGTCAAGCTGTAGTCAATCGCAGGCGCAGACGCAGCATCAAACTTCGGCCTCTGCAGCGGACGCACAATTGGTCGATGTAAAGCCGACTATAACAACAGAGCTGGTACAGATTAAACAGGAAATACTAGAGTCGCCTACAATGCAGCGCATACAGCATTTGCCAGCGACCGGCACGCAGCTACCCCAAATAGCCGTAGTGACGGAGAGCTTTCTGCAGCAACAACAACAACAGCAGCAGCAGCAGCAAATGTTGCCTATGAATTTGGTAACCGAGCAGCGTACAGTGTTGGCACGTGCGCCCCCAGCCGCCAGTGCCTTCGGCGTTGTCCAACCGCAAACTCCGACGCCACACCAACGACAGCCAGTACGTACTGCTTTAGTGGGTGCGTCCTCTAATACAACAGCCGTCAAGAATCTAACGCCGAAAATCATTGAACTCGGTGCAGCTGCATCTACCGCAGTTACAGCGAGCGCATCGCATGAGCCCGCCACAGTCATCAAAGAGGAAGAGTTTTTAGACGAATATAATCCGAATATATTCTGCAAGAAGGTGCGCAAAGCGCAGCAAACGAAAGGATTTTGGGCCAATTCACCAACTCCGGCATCGAGTAATGTTGTTGTGCCCACGATTACAACATGCGCAGCAACTACGGAAGTGACTACGTCGGCAACGTCTTTGCCGGCCGTTGCTACGTCAGTTATTGCAACGTCTGGCATGTCAACAAGTCATTCGTCGGGAGGAAATCCAGACGCAGTATCCACACCCAGCGATTTGATGGGTCCACCTGCACAAATCAGTAGCGGCACATCGGTGAGTCCATCGAGCGCTATTTTAGGGGCGGACAGCAGTGGCAGCTCATCACAACCGCCGAGCGCTGCTTCGCCCAAGGTCTTGTCACGCAATATGTTACAAATGCGCGCTAGGCGCCAACAAATTGTCGCTGCTTTGGCAGCCGAAGCGGCCGCCAATTCGAGTAATAATCTACCCGACGCCGATGCGGCTGATCTTCCTGCAAATCTGGGTTTGCCGCGTGAGCGCGTCATAAGCATTTGCAACATGGACAAACACGAATTGGACGATTACTTTGTAGCTGGTGAAGTAGAAGAAGAACCAGAGGATCAAGATACCGAACTGCTTCAATATTTTCAGACGAGAGACGCTGAGGAAAAATTGAATTCCTTAGATGCTGTAAAATCCAATAGGCATCCAACAGTCCCAACGCAGGCAGCGACTACAACACCGCAGGCGGCACCAAACACGCCAACAACTGTGGCCTCAACAGTGCCGCCCTTGGTAACGAAATCGCTGCAACAGACAGCAAAAAGCTTTGGCAGGCAGCAGAGCGCACAAGCGGTAGCCACAGATGGCTATGGCTGTGCAACACAAGTGTCAAATAGCGGCTTCACGGCCGCTGCCGGCCAGAGGAAACAACAAACGGCGATAATTGGCTCTCCAGTGCCAAAACCATGCCCCACAATGAAAACCATGGCTGTTGGATCGGCCTCAGCGTCTCTAACCATCATGTCACAGAAGCATCAGCAACAACATCAGCAGCAACAACTGCATTCTCAAAACAGCAAAAGCGTTATGCAACAAGCGCTTACAACAAAAAACCATAACAACAGCAACAGCCACAAACGAAAAATCAGCTTAAGTGGCACAACGCTGAACGCTGCCGAAGTAATGGCGTCGCGTAAGAATTGCATTTTCTTCCCCATATCACCCAATAGCAACACGGGAAGTAGCGGCAGCAATACCAACAAATCCATCGTCAGCAGCGCAAATAATCCCAAATTCAATGGAAGCAGTGTTACGCTGTATCCGGCGAGTACGCTCAATTCGAGCAATGGCAGTGGCAATAGCGGGGGCAGTAACGCGGGTTCGTTTTTCGTCAGCCCTGGACAGAGCGCGCATCGGGTGCGTCCCAAACCAGCGTTTGCGCTGGGCAAGCAGCACTCACTGGACAACGATTCCAGCGATCCTATGATCGGCGCCAGCCGCCGACGCCGGAGTTACGCCAACCTTGTCATGTCTGGCGGCAATAATTCGCTTATGCCGCTCACATCTGCTTCGGCACCACCAAGCCCCTCAGTTTTGCAGCAGCAACAACAGCAGCAGCAATTCTATGGCACGCCCTTCTGTAGCGGCGACATGGGCCAACATTCTAACAGCCGTTCGTCAAATGTCCCAATGAATAGTAACATAGCGGTGAATGCAACTGATCTATTGGCAGCCGAGCAAAATTCACTTGACTTGGATATGTTCAGCGCCGCGGCGGCCAGAGCTATGGACTATGGTGAGCTGGCATTGGATGAGCTTACTACGCCCCTCAATGAAATGCAACGCTCGCAGTCGGTGCCACTTTCCCAACTACAGCGCATACACTCACCGGCCTTTAGTCGTAGTTTTCAAGCTGCACCTTATTCAGCGTGCACATCCGTGGCGCAAACACCAGTACCACACGAATTCGCCGACTCATTGACGCTCTTTTCTGAGAACAGTTGCAGCCAAAATAGCGCTGGAGCTGGCGCTAACATAACCGGCAAAAATAACGCCCAAACAACGGCTGTCAAATTGTTGGATGAGGAAGCCGCCTTATTGGCGACCGATACAGCCGCAATGCTGGATAACCTGGACGTTGCCGAAATGTTCCCAGCAGATTTTTTGCGCATGAAGTTTCCAAGCAACGTACAGGGCAATGCCACCACAACGACCTGCTCATCAGCGGGCTCCTCGTCGGGTTACAGCAGCAGCGCGTGCACAGCTTTTGGCAGCGCCGCGCTAATATCAGGTGGCGGAGTTGGTGGTACGTGTTTGCTCGGCAGTACCGGTAACTCAATGTCCCGCTCGGTGCCTTCCACTCCGCTGCCACATCAGCAGCAGAGCCCCTTCGCTTCGTACTTTTATGGTAGCCGACGACGTTTCGAGGAGGAGGCACATCTTTCACCCTCGCTTACAACATCGGGTAACACCATGGGAGGCACGTTCACTACAACTGTATTCAAATATGGCAACAACGGCAGTGGTTCAATAGGAGGCGCCAACAACAACTATGACATGTCACGCTCCATGCCAACGACGCCGACGGCAACACCGCGCTTTCGATACAGTCCAACCGAGTTTACACGCGAATTTCTTAGCAATGGCAATACAAATACAATCGATAGTCTCATCAGTGGCGGTGCCAACACTGGCAGTCTGACCGATGCTGGTGCACCTAGCGAAGGACTAAGCGCTGCGCTCACCGGCCTCAGTGGTAACAATGATGCGCTTATTGATGACAGTTGTGGCCTGTCCGCTGATGCGTTCGTCGTCAACAACACTGTCACCGACGCTGAGTCAATGATGGCTGAGGCGAATGAGCTGCTGGGAAATTTGTAGAATTTGCATGAAGAGGAAGTGGAGTTGGCTACTAGGGGCGGCAACAACAGCAACAACAACAACGACCGCTATCAGCAAATAAAGATTGGCAGGTCGAGATCAGTAGCAAGCCAGAGACTGATTGCTGAAGAAAACGATGAAGAAGAAGTGGTCACATCAGCGAGTGTTGTTGGATTGCTGTTGGAGCAGGTCGGTAAGCTTTAAAGAGTTTCTTGACTACATTCATAGCAACATACGTACATACATATCGCTACTTAAAGGTGAAAAGGTGCAAAGTCCACTTTTGTTCAAAATTTAGTTGTTGATGCCGAATGACCGATAATGTGAAACTGCGTCGATGTTTCGTCTATCCTAAGTGATTTAAATAAATGAACTTTTCACGTTTAGGTAACGAAATATGTTTTGCCAAATGCCTTGCTAAAAACTCGGATTTTGCGTTTAGAGCTTTTGATCAGTATCCTTTCGATATTAACAGGATTTCGTACATTTGTCAAACATTTGTCCCGAAATTAAAAAAAAAAACTGAAAATTTAAATAAAAATTTAAGATTATCGTTAATTTCTTTCTAAACAAAATTAGTATGGAACCACCCTTGAGGTACCACCTTTCCGATGAAAAAAAACGAAACGACGAACTGATAACCTCCTACTTTTTTTTGAAGTCGGTAAATAATACCCAATCGCTGAACTTGTTTTGCAGTGATTTATGTGAACTTAAAATAGTGTTTGACACAAGTCCCTATTTTAAGAGTTCCGTCTGGAAGAAAATTTTATCAGCATCAAAATAAGGTGTAAATATCTTCCATTTAATTCTTAATACACCTACAAAATTTTGATTAAAACAAAAATGGCACACTGTTCCCATCAAAATATTTATTTATTTATTTATTTTTGCCATTGCTTATAAATTAATTTATAAACTATTAAAAAACAGGGTGCCTGGTTACTAAGACCATTTGGATCCCTGTCTTAAATTATTTTGGTGTTGCAACTCAATTTGATGTCGTCCTAGCGGTGGTCGTGGGCCTGGCAGAAAATCCCAAGTGCGATCGACTACATCCGGAAGATGTCTGAACGTTACAGGCACTTATAACTGGGTGTTGCTCTTCTTCTCCTATTTCCTCTTTATTGATAGTTGTAGGATCAGTAATCTACAAACGTCGAAGAACGCCAGCCATGATTTTCGAGTCGCGTTTCTTTATTCTTCTTTGCACGGAACGCATTTGTGCGATTTTGCCTCGATTGTTTGCCGGTTTTGTTCGACTTCGTTGGAGCTTCCTTCTCCTCAATGGTAGGTGTTGAGTGTAATGGTGGTCTGGGATGGCAAATCGGTCACATCAAAATATATTCTTCTAAAAAATGTCCCCCTAAGGGCTTCCAGAGCTTGGCACTTGAAAAAAAAAAACGCAGAAAGAAGCCTGAGACCGGTTATTTGTTTCGTTTTGAACTTTTTTTTTACCTTTTAGCTCGAGCGCTCATTGCCTTTAAAATATATGAAATCAGTATTTTAACCCTGCAATGCATTTTGGTAAAACATTATAGGCAAATATGTATGTATGTACGTTTAGCACTCGTTAGCCAACAAAACTTTCTCTTCAACCGCTGCCGCATGCAAAATTAGTGCAGTCTTTCATATTACTAGTACAGTTATGTTGAAAATATTAAGACCACAGCAAAGGCACTTTGAATATTGACTGCTCCATTACTCATTGCCTAAACCACACATGTGAAAACGACAACTTAATACTAAAAGCCTTTTTTTATCAATCAGCCAACAACAAATAATTTTAATTAAATTTATTGCTACAAAGTTATTATATTTACACATTTTTCCTGTCGGCGTACACTTCTTTTTGAGCCTGAAAAATTTTCAAGTCAGGTTAAAATTATGCGCCCCTTGGCTTGCATGTACATATTTGTGGAGATAATGAACGATATTGTCTCAATACGAAGTGTGCAGCGCTATGTTGTTTTATTTATTTTTTATGCGCTGTCAAAGTTATTGTGTAACGGGAAGCTTAAAAAATAAACAATAAAAATAATTCCTATTTAAAGAGACTATAACTATCTATTACATGAAACAAATTTTAATTTAAATTTTTATCCTTATATTGCATATTGGTGGTCTTAATATTCTACACATGATCGTAGTTCGAATGGCAACACTTTTCATTTCCTATTTTGCAGTTTTCAGTTTTTAAGCTGATTTAAATTTTAATTTTATTTTTTTTTATATATGTATCGCTGTTTTTTAAAGATGATTAAATTGTTTGTTAATTGTTGTAACTTGTATTTATAGTAAGTGTATAATATATTGATTGGATCTAGTTTGTAATAACTAATTAAAAAGTGTTAAAGATATACATACATACATATATACATATGTATATACATATTTCAATAATCAAATGTATGTCCGTAATGTATTGAAAGATACAAAAGCTGTAAGAAAATTTTGTATACAATAAAAATGAGGGCTGCGAAATTCGTTAAGGCTTTTCTTAAACTTGTAATTTATAGAAAAACCGTTATTCAACTCGAAAATTTTCAATATTTTTGCTTATAAAAAAAAAAAACAAAACAATCGTCGAGTGCAGCGCTGCATTTTCATAAAACAAAACAAATTACCATTAATTATACATACATATATATGTACGCTGAGAAAAGCAAGAAATCGAACGCATTAAGGGTTTCATTTAAGCGATTGCCTTATCACGCCATACTCTCAGCGGTCGGTGATTTTGAATTAAAACGAATTGATAATTATAAAGTTGATGATAGCAAAATTAAATTTTATACACACGCACTTGCGGCGTAGTATGCAGTAAATTTTAAATTTCTTGAAAAAGTTGTTTAAATCAATTCTTGAATATATAAATCCTCTTTATAAACGAATATGTAGCTAGCAATTTATGTAGATTTTCAAAATTATATATACATTCAACAAATGAAGCTAAAAGCTCATGCGTTCACTGCTGAAACCAAAAATCAACAACACAAGCAAACATGCATTAAAGAATTTGATACAAAAATTAACATTTTTTTTTTTAAATTCGACAAGAAAAAATGGAATTTGAAATTCAGACCGCCCCTTATGATCAAAATTTATTACTAGCATACAATGTAAAGCAAAATGTGAGCTTTTACGATAAAATTGAAAATTAAATTTTTTTTTTCAATTTTAATATCGACTTTTAATAGAATGTCTAGCTCTAGTTTAAGTAAAAATACGTATATGTATTTGTGTATGCAGATTTTGCATGCATACAAAAAATTGTAATTTATACAAATTACGTAAGCGCCTTGCGTGTAACATAACGACGTTTTGTGTAGGTATGTTTCACAAGTTTTTTTTAAATCACTTTTCCTTATATATTAGCTAATAACCACTGCTGTTAAAAAAAAAACACTAGTATGTATTTGAAAAATACTATAAATACACATTTATTAAGTGCACACCAAGTACATTTCTTGCATGAATTACATGAATTTTAGAAAGTTATTGGGGCTTAAAAATTTCGCGATATAATTTTTTTTTATTTAAAATTTTCTTGTAAATTATTTTCATTTTGAACATTCTGGTGCTTGTGGGGAATAACGTGCATATATAAGTATGCGCTTTTGAGTTTGAGAATTTTTTTTTTAAACTTGGGTCCTTTCAAATTTACTTTTTACATTGAAAGAAAGCTCTGCTATGGCTATTTTAGTTATTTTGTAGAGCAAAGTCGGGTCTGAAACTGAACTGAGGTACAAGTCTTGACTTGGTTTCCCCATGTCGCTCAGATTTTACGATCATCGCTTTGAATCAGTGTTGTCCCAATAGAGCTTTTATTTTTTACTAGCCGCATATAAATTGCGCAGAGAGCTTTTAAAGTTTTTTCTACGAATTTTGTTATTTTTTTATTTTAATTTTTTTTTATGAATTCTATGTTTTTAATATGGTAAATAAAAAAAACTGGTAAACTCACCACACCAGGATATTTGAACAAGAATGTCGACTGCTGTGAATGAAAATGGTAAATTTTTTCAATTTCTTTTAAGAAACTCGACACAACTGAGGTCGAAAACTTGTTATGAGATCTTTAAAGATTATAAAATTAAAGTCCCAAAAAAACGCACGATTTTCTTTAAGCCTTTACTTTGCATTTCGAAGCTTTTTTTAATTTAAAGCTTTTTTAAGCTCACTTTATTACTGGTCTGGTTCAATGATATTCAGAAAGAGTTTTTGCTCTGTGCGCGTCCGTACAAAAGTTATATAAAGCTTTAAAAAGCTTACGATAACAAAAGAAAAATGCTTTAGATTTGTTTAGCTCTAGAAGTCTTTTAAATGCTTAAAAGCTTAGAAAGAAATTTCGTGGTTTGCAGTAAAGATTTTTTATAGTATTAAGCCTCCATAAAAGTTTATCAGCTCAACTCTGTTTTTCTGTTTTCTTGTATAAAGTGGTCCAATAATATTTCTGTACGGACTACAGAAACTTGGCATTCTTTTAAAATTTTATGGTGCAACTATTTTAATGCACTTCATTATATTTTTTGAAACCCGAAGAAAGGCTTTTAAGCGCCATTATAAGCTTTTAATAGTTAGAATTTTTATTGTTTTATGTACATATAATACCCGTACAGCACATAAATATGTATACCGAAAAGTTCTTTAAGGCAATTTTTACTGTGAGCTTTCGAAAGCTTAGCAATTATCAGTGATTAATTAGGGCTCTATTTATAACATTTTCTTTTTTTTTACCGACTTCACAGGCGAAGTTGATCAGTTCGTCGGAATATTTTTATTTATTTTTCTGTATGTTATGCATAAATGAGTACTATATCGATACTTTCGGTATCACATACATACGGTAAAACATATATAGCTTTCTGAATATATTCCGCGGGATAAGCAACTTAAAGTTTTCTTTTATAGATTTTGTATTGACGTGCGCAGAGTAAAGTTTCTCTTTAATCATCGCAAATGCACAAAAATTAGTAATGTACAAAGGGAGCTTTTAGCTTATACAAGGTACGCCCAAAACATAGCCTCTGTTGGCAGATTTTGTTAACGCTTTCCTTAGATTTTATAAGGATGCGCATTGAGTAACGTCTTTCAGGTCTTCACTGGTCTATGCAGAATGTTATGAAACCATAAAAAGCTCTGACACGCGGGCAAGGTCATCACTGACAAAAAACAGTACAAACGAGACAAAAACTTTTACTGTGCGCGCATCTATACCATCGGCAACAGAAACGTATA